CCCCCTGGCTGTCAGCAAGCAGTCCCTCTTGCACCCTGAGTCCCGTGTCCCAGCCATCTGTCCACGTCATCATCTCTGTCTCCATGCTGGACTTCACTGCCTCTCTTGGTAGGGTCATGCTCTCCACTCTTCTCACTTGAAGGTCCCAGGGACCTCTGTTCCTGGACTGCAAAATCAATCACTCCCCTCATTTTGTCAAAAAAAAAAAAATCTACCTCTACATTTCTGACCCTTAAAGTCAGTCCTGATAGCAATTATTCACTGTTGTACCACAAGAGTCTTTTCCCTATTTCCTTTTGGCAACCCGGTTCCAACAAATTGGAAATCCTTCAGTGGAGGTTCTACCTACCCCTACCCTGTCTGGAACTAGTCTCCCTCTTGAAAGCTTGTAAGCCCATTTTCAGCCTATAACTGATTGGAATACCTTAGAGGGGGCTAGAAATTGCCCAGACCCAAAATGGGACAGGAGGCTATAAAGGAATGGGTAACTCTTTATTTGGATTGGGAAAGGAAACCAGAGTTCTGTGTACTCTTAGATATTTAGCTGCATCCCTGGACTCTACCTACTAAATGCCTACATCCCTCATACTCACTTCTCAGTCATGACACATAGAAATATTTTCAGATATTTGGCCAAGTGCCATCTATAGGGGAAAATATCCTTGAATCACTGCAGTGAAAATATAAGATAACCAACCTGACTAGTATTCGTTGATGTGTGTTGTTGTTAAGTGTCATTGAGTCAGTTCTGACTCATAGTGAATCAGTATAGGGTTATCAAGGAATGGCTAATGAGTTTGAACTACTTACCTTGTGGTTCAAATCAACCTTGCGGTCCTGCGCTTTTCCTACAGTGTCACACTAGGATTCCAATAGAATGTATGTATGGTGCACTTGCTATGTGATTAGTATGAATTGCACTGTGCTCTAACTATAATATATACTGGACTTCAAATACTTAAAACAAAAATATGTAATTCATTTTATGTAGATTATACAGAGTTGTTATGAGTCAACATTGACTCAGCATCAGTGGGTTTGACTTGGCTTTTGCTTATTTTGTATTGATAATAATTTGGACATATTGAGCATGAAAGATAGTTTATTGATGTGCCAACTTGGCTATGTTACTTTTGCAATGTCTTTTTACTTTTTTAATGTAATTATTGTGTTCTTTTTCCTATTAAGTGCCATTGAGTCGGTTCCAACTCATAGAGAACCTGTATAGGGTTTCCAAGGAGAAACTTTTAGAAAATGTAACATTATAGATATGGCTCACATTACATTGCCATTGGACAGCTTTGGTCTAGCCATAAATTAAAAAAACCAAACCCAATGCCATCCAGTCGATTCTGACTTACAGGGCAGAGCAGAACTACCCCAGAGTATTTCTAAGTCTACAAATTTTTATGGAAGCTGATTGTCACATATTTTGCCCAAGGAGCAGCTAGTGGGTTCAAATCACTGAGCTTTTGGTTAACAGTTGAGCACTTTAGCCATGGTAACACTAGGGCTCCTCTAAACTAGTCATGTTGCTGTGGTCAAGTGCTGCTGAGCTAGTTCAACTCAGCGGCCGTGTACAGCATTTCCAAGGAGCAGCTGGTGGATTTGAACTGCTGATCTTATAATTAGTAGTCTAGTGCTTATTCTACAGCACCACACTTTTTTAAATCCTTAAATTACTAATGAATTAAATCATTTACAAGTGAAATTAAAACAAAAGACTCCAAGCTCTCTCCTGTCAATACCTTTCTCTTGTTTCCTCCCTCCCATCCAAATCAACAGAGGCTATGGACTGGTTCCTTTTACTTGTATAACTCAAGAAGCAAATACAATTTCAAGAATTTAGAGTGGTCTCTGAAGGAATTCACCTTTAAGAGATATTTATGTCTTTTAGGATTAATGTGAATAATTAACATAGGACAAGAATTTCAAAATTGAAAAATTATATAAAAT